CAGCAGCAAGTTTACAAACTCATGGTTCTCTGCTGCTGCTGTTGCTGCTGCTGCTGTTGCTGCTGCTGCTGCTGCTGTTGCTGCTGCTGTGGTTTCCACTTGTAGGTAGAGCACAACGAGTTGCTGCGGCTTTGCTTCCACAAGCTGCGGAGCTTCCCGCGACGCAAACTGCAAAAGATGCAGGAGACGGTTGCAGCGGGGCTCGTAGACCCCACGCGGTACTCTAGAGTGCAGCAGCACCAACAGCAGCAGGATGAAGAGCAGCAAGATCAGCAGCAGCAGCAGCAGCAGCAGCAGCAGCAGCAGGGGCCTTTACAAGATTCGCGACGCCGGCGGTTGCTGCCGTTCCTGCGGAGCAACAAACACCCGCCTGCATGCGAGGTGGTACAACCCCACCTCCAGCCCCAATCTACTGCACAGCTTCAGTTTACTTGGCGAGAGAAACTCTCACGAGTCAGCCGGGTCGGAATAAAAAGAAAAGGGACATTGCCTGTTACGCCGCAGCAGAGGGGGGCCTCGAACGGGGAGCCGTTTACACCGCAAGATGCTACAAACGACAACTGCAGCAGCGGCAGCAGAGCAGCAGAGCTGCACGTACACCCCAAACTGCGCTCATTACATAGACCAAGAAAGGCACCGGGGCGCCCCCTGAGAGGTGCCTCGGCATTGTAATGAATGAAGAAGAGAAAACAATACAAACAAACAATGCAGGCAGATAAACACAGAAATACAGTTACGCAGCAGCTGTGATCTCCTCCCCCTTGCACTGTACATGCAGCTCTGCTGCATTTTTTCAGGGCTTTCCACTTTCGTCGATGCTCACTTCAGTTGTGGGGGTATTTGAATACGGAGGAGGCGTCACTGCTACGGGCATATACAGCTAGCTATGGCTTGTACAACTAGCCAGGTGTATGCACGTACAGCTAGCTAGCTCGACATTGTGCGGCTAGCCAAACACTGCGCAGCTAGCTAGCCAGGTGCTTCCGCAGCCAGCTCTATCACAGGTATCAGCAGAAAGAAAGCTAGGGCCTTGGCTGACGGACTGCAGTATACTGCAGCTTCTTTAAGGGCAGTTAACCCCCGAAGTGCAGCGCTGACCCTCCTCCAGTGTTGAGGGTTTGCAGTTTCTGCTTCTTTATGGGAATTTAAGGGTTTAATCGATGCGTTGTGGGCTTGACAAGCTAGACGGATAGACTCTGTCTCTATAGCGAGGGTCCTCGATCCTCACTGCAACTCGCGACTGTCATCGAATGAGAGAAGAAAATTTTAATGAAGGTTTAACAAGTAGCAGTACACAGCATCCTACCCCGCACTCANTCGAATGAGAGAAGAAAATTTTAATGAAGGTTTAACAAGTAGCAGTACACAGCATCCTACCCCGCACTCAGAGACCCTGGGCACAGTGATACAGCGCTGTGGGTGTTTTCGGGATGCAAGGCAAACCTGCACACATGCACCCGTAGCCGAAGCCAAGCCCCGTCTGTTGCATGCACGAACACCTTAGACAAGTGTTGAAAGCTTATTACGTCGAATTTTGTAGCTAGCCTAATCTAAACGAAAGTAGAGAAGGTGAGAGAACAGCTTCACACACAACGCCTTGCAGTGTCTGTCTGTGTTACACATAGCTGAACACAGTGGAGAGCGCGATCCAGCGTCTTATCGTATCACTGTCTTTCAATAGTTAGTTTAGGCAGCAAAGGATGATGAAAAACGACAATTAAACGCATTTCAACTTGAATAATTCGATGACTCAGTATATTCGGCGGTACCAGTGTGTGTCGCTCACGCGCCGCTATGGCCCTTTGTGCAAGTTATGGAAGCACTACAGGAGGTACTAACGATACACGCAGCAGCCAAGAAACAGCTATCAATATTAGAGGATTCACTAGAAGGACGAAACCTGTACATGTCTGGATTCGCAGACTGGGCTTCACTGTGCGGCGGTTCAGTGCTATATTCACGCTTTAATATGCGATCTCTTGAACAAATTAAGTAAATTAATAGAGACAAATACAACTAAACGTATTTTAGCCAAATTCGACCATCAGTTTTTGCTTTTGAGTCTGTTTTCCATAGCACGGCAACTACACCACCGCGCCGCGATGAAACCTGCATGTACACCCGGGCGCCTTCCAGTGGCGGGAGTGGTGAGAGTGGACGGCGACAAGCAGAATGTAAGACTTATAGTTCAAGTTTTAGTAGTTGTGGTGTTTATAAATTCTATATCGATGATATCTTGCCTTTGAACCTGCTTACTTTGTGCTTTTTTCGCTGGACATACAGCTCAAGTTGTGCAGCCGCGTCATCGCCACTGGTTGGCAGCGAACTACGCGGATTCTGCAATCGTTTCTGCATCGCATTTATTTTCTTTCTTTTCCTTTTTGTAGTCGATGAGCATTAATTGGCTTACCTCCGCTGCCTAGACTCCTTTGCCGCAAATGTCTGCCTCTGACTTAGAGGCCTCTCCTGTGGGGATTCGTGACGGCCGTGCAGATGGCCAGGACCCCCAAGACGACAGCATAAGCATCAACAGCAGCAGCAGCAGCAGCAGCAGCAGCAGTAGCAGCAGCAGTATCCGCATCAGCAGCACGAGCAGCATCCGCATCAGCAGCAACAGCGGCAGTAGCAGCGGGCAAAGCCCCCNATCCGCATCAGCAGCACGAGCAGCATCCGCATCAGCAGCAACAGCGGCAGTAGCAGCGGGCAAAGCCCCCCGTCAGAGTTGTCCAGCGGCCGCGAAGTGGATGAAGAGTCACCCGATAGCTCACCTACAAAGCGTGAGCACTCAGACACCTGCGACGGCATGTCTAGCCCTGGCAGCAACACGGAGCAGCAGCAGGAGTACGTGAGCAGCGGCGACGATGGCACCCCGAGCTCCCAGGAGGCCGAGGCTTCAGCCGAGGTTTCAGAGCCAGTAAGCGAGAGAACAAATGAGGACGATGCAGCAGAAGCAGCAGCAGCAGCAGCAGAAGAAGAAGAAGGAGAAGGGGCCCAGCAAAACGATGAAGAACTCTCACAAAGAGCAGAAACTGAATACAGCGAACAAGACGACAGCTCAGAGCAGTGGGAGGAGGCAGTGAGCAGCCCCGAGGAGGGCAGCATCCCCTTCGACTCAGATGATGGCAGCAGCAGCAGCAGCAGCAGCAGCAGCAGCANCAGCAGCAGCAGCAGCAACACAGATTCAGAAAGCAACGCAGATACACCTAAAGCTGCTGCAGCAACTGCAACAGAAGGCACTGCACCGGCAGAGACAGAGAACCAACTCGGCTGCTCCCACTACCGCCGCAAATGCAAAATCGTAGCTCCTTGCTGGTGAGGGTCTAGGGTTTAGGGTTTAGGGTTTAGGGTCTATGGGGTGTGGGCGATGCCGCTGTAGTAGCAGCAGCAGCTGGAGGCTGAGGGCCCTGCAGCAGCAGCAGGTCGGAGGGGCACCAACACGGCAGCAGCACAGACAGCACAAGGGGGTTCAGTTGTCTCTATTTTGTTCTGCTGCGCTGCTGCTGCTGTTGCTGCTGCTGCTGTTGCTGCTGCTGCTGTTGCTGCTGCTGCTGCTGCAGCAAGGAGATCTTCTGGTGCAGACACTGCCACAATGAAGCGTACGAAGCGGATATAACAAAGGCACAGTAAGCCTGCTGTTGCGGCGACGTTGCTGCTGTTGCTGCTGCTGCTGCTGCTGCTGCTGCTGCTGTTGCTGCAGCAGCGTCTGTCGCGACGTTTGCTGCTGATGCTGCTGCTTTTGTTGCTGCTGTTTCGATCACGTCCTTTTCTGCTGCAGCAGCAGCAGCAGCAACTCCTGCTGTATCTCCGCGTTGCAGTTAGTGTGTATGGTGAGCCTTAATGTATTATATGTATTATATGAATATTAATTAATTTATTTGTTTGTTGCTTTTGTTTTTGTTTAGTGAGATAGATAGACATGCTGTAGAGGAGATAGTATGCGGTGCATGCGAGAAGAGNTTTTGTTTTTGTTTAGTGAGATAGATAGACATGCTGTAGAGGAGATAGTATGCGGTGCATGCGAGAAGAGACAGCCCGTCAGCAACAGATGCATGCATTGCGGCGTCATCTTTGGGGCTTACTTTTGCTCTGTATGCAAATTCTGGGATGATCAGGGAGAAAAGAAAAAGGTAATTTACCCTCCAACTGTTGCTGCTGCTGCTGCTGCTGCTGCTGCTTCTCCTGCTGCTGCTGCTGTTGGTGCTTCTCCTGCTGCTGTTGCTGTTGTTGCTTCTCCTGCTGCTGTTGCTGTTGTTGCTTCTGCTGCTGCTGTTGATCTTCCTGCTCGTCCTGCTGCTGCTGCTGCTGCTGCTGCTGCTGCTCGTGTTGCTTCTGGTGCTTGTGTTTCTGCTGGTCTTGGTGCTGCTGCTTCTGGGGATGCTCCTGCTGCTGCTGCCCCTCTTGCTGCTGCTGTTGTTGGTAGTGCCTGTGCTGCTGCTGCTGCTGCTGTTGTTTGTGCTGTTGCTGCTGCTGCTGCTGCTGCTGCTGCGGACGGACGAACATGCCGTCCTAAAATTCCGGCATTCCTTCATCTTGCTGGCTGGAAGGTGTGTTGGGGCTTGTTGCGTTCCGTACGCATGCATGCATGCATGCATGCATGCATGCACTGATGCATGCATGCATGCACTGCTGCATGCATTGATGCATGCATAGATGGATGGATTGTGTATGCATGCATGCAGGTGTATCACTGTGACGAGTGTGGAATATGTCGTTCTGGGGGCCGAGCAAATTACTTTCACTGTTCCACCTGCGGCAGCTGTTATCCTCTTCAACTAAAAAATAAACACAAATGCTTAGAAAACGCAATGCGCCGTCAGTGCCCCGTTTGCCTAGAAGATATGTTCTCCAGCCTCAGGCAGAGCCAGGTCTTACAGTGCGGCCATACTATACATGCTGTAAGAAAAAAAAAAATATAAACCCTAAACCCTAAACCCTAAACCCTAATATACACTATATAGAAGATATGTTCTCCAGCCTCAGGC